AAGCGAGTGCCTGAGACAGCTGCCACCAGAGCCTGACTCCATGCCCCACGTGTGGGGCTCCAGTCCCCGCTCTGCTCCAACCCTTCATCCTCCTGCCCAGCCCCGCACCTCCAGGTGGTGCCCCTGGCCTTGGAAATGAGTTACAATGGAGTGTCCTGGGTCAGGGTCACTCCATGTACTGTCCTCCCTAATCACCGTCACATACCCACTCTCTTCTTCATTGGGGGCACGGTCACCTAGAATTTATAATCTCAGAGCCTGGAGGAGTTTCAGAGGCTTTTACATTTTACATATATTTTGAATGTACAGGTGAGCAAAGTAGGAGCCAGTGAGGCTAGGTGACTTGCTCGGGGTCACACTATTAGCGTCCTCTTCTTTCTATTAAGGGCAGTGTGAATTACTGATTACCTTTGAAACTTCCTGTGATGGCAGTAGAAATGTGCTTTTTAAGAGAGTTACTGAAACATGGTATTGATTTTTCTCATAGAAAAAGTGCCACTGCCATCATTTCCTTTTACTTTCTAAGCCACACTTATCAAGACCATTTTGTATTTGCTAGTTTACAGGTAAATAATTTCTCTCATCATTTTACTCCTTATTATTAAAATGTTCATTGGATGCCAATATTCTGGAAGATGCTGTTGTTGTACCAAGTCAGACACAAATTATATTGACACAACCAAGTCCCAAGTCCAAGGGCACCAGCTGAACTATTTGCTGCAGCTGGACATGCAGACAGTGTGGAGCAGCCCAACTGGGTCTATAAAACAAGCAACACCCATTCATCTGTGTGTGCAGACATTGGGTCCCACCAGATTCACTTGCTAAGACTGACACACAGCAACCTGTACATGATGGCAAAAACGAGCAGAACACCTCAAGCAGCAATGGTGATGTGCTTTTCCTGAGTGGCATGAAGCTTGCCCTCAGAGCCTTCAGGGATCAGGCAGTAAGGTCAAAGGGGTGAGAAAGGCTTCCTCAGACCACGGAAAGTGGCAGGAATGTTTCCAGCTGGAGAGGGCCAGCCCTCTGCCTTGGGCAGCCGCTGCACGCCCCAGAGTGCTGGCCATGTGTAATGTCAGCTAGCAAAGCCTGGTCTCTGTTTTTTGTGTGTGTGTGTGTTTTTTAAGAAGCCAGAAATTTGGAGTTGCATGTTAAATCTCCTTTCTGCCCCCCTACATGTTAGTAACTAATTCAGTTTTTTTGTTCTCTGGGAGCCAGCTTTGGCTAAGTCCTAACAGTTGTGTGAATCTAAGTAAAATGTTCCAGAGCAGGACTTGGGGGACTGCTTGGGCAGAGAACAGAACTAGTGTTGCGATCAGTGTGAGTTGTACTGTGCTTGGGAAGCCAGTCCTAGTGGCTCTTGTAAAATTAACCTGATGAATCAGAAGTAAGATGTGTGGCGATGTGACCTCATTCTCTGACATAATAATCATTTCCAGTCCTGGTGACAGTCCCTTTGCTTTGCTGTCACGATGACCTGCTGCTATATGACAACGGTGTGAGGGGGTGGAGTGGAAGCTCCAGTGATTGAGAATGTTTGATGTTTTAAAGACAATGATCAACACATGCAGTCACAGGATCTTCAAACAGATCCCTTTTAGCCCCCTTCCCCTTTTAGCCCCCTTTGTTTGGTCCTCAGTCTGGACTACCTGAGGGTAGTTTCCTGGCCAGTCAGCACCCTGCAAGGTCCCACTCGCTCACGGCAGTCGACAGGCTCAACACCATTTGGCATCACGGTTCTGTCACTCGGTTTGGTCTGAACAATCACAGCACGAGGAATTTTTGTCTGGGTTCCAAGTGTGTAGAAAGTCAACACGACTCCTGCCCATCTGACTCAGAGTAAAGTTGTGTAATTATTTTTAGATGAACCCAAATAGATCTGATAAATTCACCAACAGATGCCTATTAAAATTAAGAACTTTCTTAAGGTTTTACACTAATTTTATGGGTTGGGAAAGAGTAGGATTATAACCGTATAGTAATGGTGTATTTTACAAAGGGCATTTCTCTTCAGGCTAAGAACAGTGGAAGGTTGAGACAATTAGATGGGAGATTCAAGCATGATAAGCTTACTTCTGAAGTAAATTCTGTTGTTTCGAATCCTCATATTGACCGTCTTCCCATTACCTACCTTCTGGGTAGCTGCTTTACCCTGTGTAAGCACAGCCACAGAGAGGGAAACCAACAAATGTCTGCAGATGCTTAAAAACACTTTCAGGTAGCACTTTTAAAGTTTCAAAGATTACTTAAATAACCTTTTTAATTGCAGCAGCCCAGCCAGCTCAAGGTTTTAAAACTCAGGGGAGAGTTCTTGTCCATTTCTGTTCTCCTGACTGGTGCAAGTCTGCACGGCTGTGGTCTTAATGGGGAGACCCAGCCCATGCTCTGCAGGATGGAAAGTGACAGCGACTGAACCCGGTTCTCTCCACAAAGTATTCACTTCAACAAGAAAATATATTGTCTATGTATTTACAATGGTTAGAGCCCAAAGTTGTGTGGGAAGGGAATAATGTATCAAAAGCCCAGCTGAAGAAAACTGTCACATGTTCATGTGGACTGACCAAGTTTAACCACTACGGCCAGAACACTCACCCATGTGATGTACATGTTAACTAACAACCAGATGGTATGGTGATAGAAAGACACATAAAATAGCTATTTTTCCTGGCCAGAACCCTACTGTAAACCTGGAGATATTTAAATAACCCATCTCAGCCATGATCTTGGCTGTGTGTAAGGATTAAGAGAAGCCACTGAATTGCATAATAGATTTCTTCTGCATGCAGTGTGCTCTTCCTGCCAGCTTCTGGGGTTCAGAATGTTGCATCTGACCTATGCAATCTTAAGATGGAAAAAAGGTACACTTGGGAAATATAATAAAATAGCAGGACTCTGTCTTACTAGCATGTAGAACATTTGTGCAAAAATGAATGTAATTGTGGAAGGATAGAGATTCATTTGACATGTCAGGAACAATAATCTATAAAAGTATCCATACATTCCCAAGGCTTTCTAAAGAAATGAGAATCAGCCCTCTGAGTCTCCATTATCCTTCCACTATGTGCTACCAACTCTCTAAGGTAATATGCTCTGTGTAATCCTATAATACTGCTCTTGAGCCCTTGGTAAATGTTGCCACTTCCTCTTCTCCATATACTTTCTCATCCAAAATGTAATAGCTTACTAGTGTCTGCTGTATGTTTTACTTAACTCTTATTATTGATTTCACCTCTTTAATGTTTTACTGAATAGGAACTATGAGAAACAAATAAGGGCACCTCAGAGATTCTTCACTCTGGGATCAGATTCCCCAGAATAGGAAGAACCAAAATGGATGAATGAATGAATGAATGAATGAAGGGTTGCTTTTGACTTGTCTGTAAATACATGATTATGTCTCCTGGTAATGGGTCACCCTTTTACCAGTAGTCATTTACTGGTAACGAGTAATCATTTAAATGATTACTGGTAACCAGTAATTATTTACATGAACGAGTAATCATTTGAAGTTTAATTTTAATCTACACATCAGAGCTGAAGATATGAAATTATGCTATTCATTCAGCCTCTCTCTCCCTCTCTAATTTTCAAGATACAGCAAATTAATTAATGTGCTGCACTTTTCAACTAAAAAAATGATGAAGGCCCATCTATGTCTGTAAAATTATAAGTTGCAATGCAACATGCTGGACTTGTTAATGCTTTTTTTTTTGGCATGAAAAGGAGAGATATAGGTATCTTATATTAAATGGCATTCTAAAAAGCATAAGTTAGCAGTTTGTTACTAAGTTTGACTTTTCTACGCACAAATCCTAAATGATTGATGGACCGATGTAGAAAGCTTTGTTCAGAAAAGATCACCTTTGGCAGGCTACTTTTAAGACTTTACTACTCTGGAGAGATGAAAAGATATCCTCACTTCACATTAATTTCCCCAACAGATCAACACTTATTTGAAATATGCCTCAGACTTATGCAGTATTTGCTGTCTTAATAGTCTTTTTTCACTGTATCCAGCTGCTCTAGATGGAATGGCTTCTACTTCTAAGATTTAGGAGAATTTTTCTGCACATAAAGAGCATCTTTAGGAAAATACAGATGGGTAGAACAGTATATCTGGCATTTTTATTCACTACTATTTCATTGCAAGGTAGTATATGAGACTAAAATATACAGAAATATGCTTTTTTAAAATCAACAATACCATTTCAGGATGTGGCTTCAGATTCTCCCTATAGTATTCTTCAGAATCTGAAAAGAGCCATTTACTTTTTTTTAATCACAGATTATATAGTCTTATGTGTGCCTAAGGTCACTGTAGGATTACATAAACCAGGGGTGAAAATCTCAACTAAAGGGGTCAAACAGGTAATAGAAATAAGTGAACGAAACCAGTTATAGGGGGTGAGTCTGCCTGTGTTGGGGGTAGGGGTGCAGTGCCTGAGACGAAGTATCATTTAAGTCAACATGAAAGGTATTTTGATTTTTATATAAGAAGGTTAGAAATCTCCTAATTTTCTAATATTGGCAATTAGAAATTTTTTGAAAGACCCTAGGCTGGCCAAACAAAACACGTCTGAGGGACGTCATATTGCCGTAAACCTGCTGAGAAGGAAAATGTATTCACCTTTAAAAAATGTTTCCTCAGTTGTCCACATTTTGGGGAATGCAGTTTCATAACTGTGACATAGCCACCTATAATGACCTATTTATTATAGGCTCAGGACAAAGGAACTAAGGTTCCATCCACATCACATGTTTGGGAGAAACTTTGCAAAGGGACTCAGATGCATGGGGAGGGAGGGTGCCCTGGGCAGTGAATGGATGGATACAGTTTCCTTATGTAAAACATAATAATAGGTGCATTCGCACTGGACACGATATGAAGCAGAGACCTCTTTTCTCTTAAATTTATCTTCAAGACCATTTCATTTTATGGAGTTGAACAAAGCTGACTTGCAAAAAAAAGAAAAAAATCTTTCTTTGCTCTTTGGCAGGGTGAAGTAGAGAAATAAAGTCTCCCCGCTGAACTACTATGAGGTCAGAAGCCTTGCTGCTATATTTCACACTGCTACACTGTGCTGGGGCTGGTTTCCCAGAAGATTCTGAGCCAATCAGTATTTCGCATGGCAACTGTAAGTACCCACAATCCCACTCTCTCCCTTTGGGGACACTGGAGCCTGCATCAACCAGGAAAACATAAAAATTAGAATGCTAATAAAATAGCAAACTTATTAGTCACTTTTAGCTTGTGTAGGTGGCAGAGTTCATTCAAGTCCAGTCACATCGGTGAGGTGCCTATGCTGCCACTCCATTCAGTGTTGCTGTGGGGCAAACGCGGGAGCATTTGCAGCATCCCTCGGTGCCTTCACGGAGTCTCAGTGACTACGTGGGGCCCATGATCGTGCCTGCAAACCACCTGTGGGAGACTGTCATTCTCACCTGGGTATTGCGAGTACTGCACATTTTTGTGTGTGACTAATATATGAATGTCGTGATAAGAACAGAAAAATAGTAAGACTGCTTTGGAGTACTTAAGAGATAAAAATTACTTTGTTTAGATTTAGAAGTTATATCATTGCTAAATTTAAGTAGAGAGAATTTTAATTCAAAGGGCCTATTTTAACTATATAAATTTCCCTTGGTTTGCTTCATTGTCAAGGGCAAAGGGCAACATGATTAAGAATTCAGTTGACTCCTCAAATGAAGAAAGCTTTACCTGTGTGTTGGATGGAATGACCAATTTACTGCTTCTTTTACTTCCCTCCAAACACAAAATATTTTATCAAGTAAAGGTGAAAGAGAACATTTTCCCCAAATATTTATTTTCCCAGTAACTACCCCAAAACACCAAATGAACCATACAAAAGATGTTTAACATTAATATGGAATAGTAACAAGATCCATTAATGCCTAGCTTTCTGCTGGATGGTCTGGGTTGAAAGAGATCATTTTATATGAAGGTGAGGTGGCAAGACTGATTCATAAAACAATTAGAGAACAAAAGTCAAAGCATGATTAAGGTCAAATTATTTAGTTCAAGATCATCATTATTGCCCTGGCTGGTGTGGCTCAGTGGATTGAGCACCAGCCTGAGAACGAAAGGGTCACTGGTTCGAATCCCAATCAGGCCACATGCCTGGGTTGCAGGCCAGGTCCCCAGTAAGGGGCGCATGAGAGGCAACCACACATTCATGTTTCTCTCCCTCCCTTTCTCCCTCCCTTCCCCTCTGTCTAAAAAAATCAATAAAATCTTTTTAAAAAAGGTCATCATTCTTAGAGCAGCAGAGTCCACCTAATTCAAGGTACCGATTTAATAAGCATTTATCTATCTCCATCTGAGACAGTTATACAGAAGAGACCCCAGCGTAAATGTGCTGCTGAAAAGCAAACTATGGAGTCATGATATTCTTCAGCAAGCTCCTTGATGAATGGGTAAATGAAATTTCAGAGCAGTGGAGGGAAAAGCATGAGATAATCCCACACTAAGCTTAATTGTGAGTAAAATATACTGTGGCTCTTGAGTAAGATACCCACTGAAGGTCATGCTCAGATACTATAAGGGTTTAAAGTGAGGGGTCTGAGCAGAAATCTGAATGGTTTTCTAGTCATTTATGCCCCTCCCCCACCCTCAGAAAAACAAGTGCCTTTTAAATGTAATTCATCTTTCTTTCCTCCTTAGTTTCTTTAAGGAATGCCCATGTTCCAGAGTTTGTAGGTTTAAGGCAGAGAGATTTTTGAGATGTAGGTATTTCTACAGTTCAGATATGACTACAAATTGCCCACCCTTGACCAAAGAGAGTGGAGGAATATGCTCGCTCATTGACTCTCCAAGTCAGGGAATTTCCAGATCACCCAACTGGCTACACTCAGTTTGACCCTGTCCTGTCAAAGCTCCCATTTCTGTGAGATTAGCCAATTGCTTAACTCAAGAGTGAACTTCCCACAGTTCCTAGAATGCCAACCAACCTAGCAGGGCTGCCTTCAATGGTAGATTATTCCAACTGGACGCCTGTGGAGACTGTATTTTTCTTCTGGCTCCTGGTTGAGGGCTCTCGCCTCCAGACCACATTGCCGCTGTAGTGATTGATGGGAAGGCTGCTTTGAAATAGTTTTGTCCCGAGACAAGATCTTTGGCAGACTGCCTCTCAGGCTTAGCACTCTAAAGAAGATGAAAAGAGAACTGGAAAAAAAGAGCACCTTCATGTAAAGGGTTCACTTGCAAGTTTAAGCCCCAGGAAAAGGGACAAGTCAGAAATTGTGACACTTAGAAATATAAGTCCAGGCTTATTATCATCTGGAAATGAAACTGTAACTTGATCATCCTTTAAGAGCACCCTTCTGTCTCAGTTTTTCCTAAAATAACAGCCTCATTGAAGGTGGGAAATGGTGTCTTGATCTGACTTAAATATGGTTTTGTTTTGTGGACAGCCCCCCTTCTCTCCCTGCCCTGTCAATTCTTGGCTTGATTTCCTTTTCCCTTTCTTGCTCCATCTCCTCTTTTCACAGATACAAAACAGTATCCGGTGTTTGTGGGCCACAAGCCAGGACGGAACACCACACAGAGGCACAGACTGGACATCCAGATGATTATGATCATGAATAGAACCCTCTACATTGCTGCTAGGTGAGTGGCCTTGTCCTCAACTCTACCTTCCAGAAGCATCCGAAGGTCCTAAGATATAAATGTACCCACTGTGCATCATTTTAAAGATCATACTACACCCAAACAAAGTGTTATTTAATTTAAAAGCTACTTTAGTTTGTCAAGCAATCATTCTTTCAAGATTTTCTGTCTGTTTAACTTTCCATGGATTTAGATAGAAATAATTGCCTATTTTGGAGTTTAGATTCAAGTAATCCACTGTATTTCTTGAACATATATGCAAATATTTACTCAAGCACTCAGTAGAGTGCCTTTCTCCTTGTTACTTGTTGGTTAAATTAAGTTAAATGAGTAAACATGATTATATAGTGTGTGTAGGTGTGTGTATATTAAACCTGTTTGTATTTTTGCAGTGAATATGTGGTATATATCATTACTTTAACAGAATGGCAGTAGCACCTGAAGTGTCTTGATTTGGATCTAGTAAGAAAATATTCATCCACTGGGGAAATGTCACTTAAACACAGCCATGTCTTAAGGCTGAGTGGCATGATTAGAATACTGCCCACACAGGCATTACGTGCATTTAGCCTTTTGTTTTAATTCTACTCTTAAATTACCTGGAACACAACTTCTCTGGCAATAGATTCCTCTGACAAATGAGAGGTTGCCATAGATTATCTTAATGAAGTCTCTTGGGATTCTAACAATGTGTGATCCCCCATTTTGTGGGTATGTAGCTCATTCAAAATAATTCTAAATGAACAGCAACAAGGACACCACCTGTGGGATTCCACTGTGGTCTTACTAAGTGTAGACTGATTAATCATTTCACACTGGGAAAAAGAAATAGAGATTGAGTTTGTGGTGTTTGTCTGGCTGTGAGTATAGGCAAAGAACAGGTAAGTAACAACAGCAGTCGATTCTTTTAAAGCACATAGATTTTCTGAAATTACAAGCTGTGCAACATAAAGTTAAAAACAAAAAACCACGGCGAGATTAAAATACCCTGTAAGTAACCCACACAGGGAGTGATGCCAAAATGTTTTGTTTTTTATTTTAGTTCACAAAAATTTATATAGTACATACTGGATGTATGTGCCATGTTAATTCATTGGATCCTGGGGATAAACCCTATGAGAAGGAGGTATTATTACCCCATGTCTTGTGGGAGGAAAGCAAAGTTCAAAGAGGTAACATGACTTGGTCAAAATGACAGAGCAGTATTTGGATCAGAATGGTCTTGCTTTAGAGTCTGGGGCATTACTCCCTGCACTCTGCAGCCTACTGAGCAGTAGAGATGGTGATATTTGTCCTAGGAATAACCTTCTGATAGCTGTTGCCCAAGCACAGCTATTAGTCATTGATTGCATTCAGTAGAAAGCATTTCAGTGAGGTCCTCAGTAGCCACCTTTGTAGCAGAATATTAGCTCTTTCTTAAATATCATTTTTTGTTTCCCAAATACAGTACGGCTAGAAGAGTACATTTGTACCCAATTATCAAAAGGCTGGTGAAAACAAATGATTAAACACTGGATCTGTGAGAAATAAGTTCACTAAAGAATCTTCAATGAATTGTTCACTTTGCAGTGGAGTCTCTGATGGGGTACAATGGACTGCCCACATACCTGATGATTTATTTTAGCAAGGCTGTGGACGGCAGGGCCAGGGTGGCACCTGAGTTAGGAGCAAGGTGCTATACACACTTAGTAGTGACTATTATTCCAGCTTGTTAAAACCACATTTTATTCTAATCCCTGGCCCCAAGAAAAAGAGAAAGAAGAAATGAAAGGACAGAAAGGAGAAATACATTCAATTTTCTTTTAAAAAATTGAATTTATTTTTAGAAAGGGGAAGGGAGGGAGAAACTGAGGGAGAGAAACATGAATGTGTGGTTGCTTCTTGCACACCCCCTACCGGGGACCTGGTCTGCAACCCAGGCGTGTGCCCTGACTCGGAACCAGGGACCCTTTGGTTCTGAGGCCTGCATTCAATCCACTGAGCCACACCAGCCAGGGCCACATTCAATTTTTTAAAACTATAAAATAGACTTGCCTTTCATTAGAGGTAAAATTTGTAATACCCTAGTATTGACAAGCTGCTTTCCGTTCTATACTCAGCCACTTCCCTTCAATACACACCCTTGGAACTATTCCTTAAGTTCTGTGGCTCCCACATTTAGGCTCTCTCCTCTCACTTTAATTTCACATTTCCCATCATTGTGCCGAGAGATCCAGGTTCCTAGGCAGCAAGTAACACGATTTAAAGTTAAATCCTTCCCCCAGGCACAAGCTGGGGCAACACAATGCAGTGGTGCTCACTGGAGAAGGGGAGAGGAAGTCCTAGGATTAAGTCAGTTTGTGTTCAAATAACTTAATGCAGCAAGTGCACTGTGTGCATCCTAGGATGCACTCAGCAGTGTGGGAATAACCCCTGACCCTGGTCTGTTTCTGCTTGCTGGGCAGTGTGATCTCTTAGATATTGAAAAAGATTGCCATTGTGCAAAAGGAGATTTCATTCACAGATAGTATTATTAAAAGGCTTCCCAGTTCTTCTGGACACTTGGTGTCAGCAATCGGAAGCCCCATCCAGAACCCGAGGACTGAATGAGGCTTAATGGCAAGAACCCCTTTCAATTCTGCTTTATTATTATCCATTTTGTAAATACTTTTCCCCCCTTTAATCTCTAAACTGCTAATTAACATAAACAGGCCATGCCAGAAAAGGGCAATCCAAGAGCTTTCTGAGGAACTGCCAATGCATATTAATCAGCTGTTAATTTACAATTCATATATTCCACTCCTACTTAAAGTTTTGAGGGGAGGCAGGGCAATGAAAACCTAGAGTCCTCTCAAACCTACTACCAAAGTAATAGGCAATTCCATTCCAAGAATGAGCCTGACCCACAGCATAAAGTCAAACTAGTAATGAAGGAATGCAATGGAACTGCCTTGAAATTAAAGGGCAGGGCAATTCTGGCACCCTACTAAAGTTTAAAGAACTTCCCAATTCAGCAGTTTACAAAACAGGCTCCCCATTCTCCCCCTCACCACTCTTACTTAATTCATTTTCAGTCTCTCTCTCTCTCCCTCTCTCTCTCTCTCTCTCTTCCTTCCATAGCAGGAAAGGAAGTTTTCTAAGCCAACTGCTTTGCCCTCTCCTTTTATTTTCACATGAAAGAGGCTGCTTTTATTTTCATTTTTATTTATTGTACCTTCCATAAAAGTAGTAGCAAACAGACTTCAAAAAAAATGGGGGAAAATTGAAGTAAATCCTGACATAATTCCTTTCTTTCCTTTTTCTTTTTTTCCCTCCCTTCCCCCACCTTTCTTTTAAGTAATGAGGGGCCTGAAAGTCTGTATGGGATCCTTGAGGTCTTGGTTTAAAGCTGTGGGTAATTTTCCAGCCCCCAGGACTTCCTGCATTTTAGAAAAAAGTCAATGTTATTTCAAAGGAAAATGAGCTGTTTTGCTTTCCATCACTAGCCCCCCATCTCCCCAGTTAAATGTAGTTCTTTTCTTTTCTTTCTTCTGAATTCCAGACAAAAACGCCCTTGTACTCAGCTCAAACAGAAGGGGATGTTTAAATATAGGCCCACACCTGAGCTGCTGGTTTTGTTTCTTCCCTTCCAAGGGGAGATTGGCAGCAAATCACAGAGACAACCAAATTCTCAGCAAAACAGGAAGGTGAACAGAAGCAAGAAATGTGAACTGTAGCTCAAGTGCACTTTAGGCCTTAGTTGACCATCACTGTGTGATGAAAAGAGTGGCTTCTGGATTAATTTTACCTTTCTCATCTTCCATCTCGTTGGCCACGTCACCAAGCCAGGACTGAGAGATGGAGATGAAGGCCAGCTTTTCATTAGCCGCCGTGATGAACAGATGTGGCACGTTGAATACCAAGTGTCTGGCACCTGGATTTGAAGACACTGAAACGTGAACCCATCTGTGTTCCGGTTTGGGGGCCAATTTAACTTTCATAGTCCTCTCTCCTAAGCTATAATATACAGATGTTCCGGTTCTGATATGATGAACTACAGGAAAGTTCATAATAGGTGTCCCATGCAGCAAGATGCCACTGTATCAAAAGGGGCTGACTGTGATCGGAGGCATCTTACAGGCTGAACTCTTCCATTTTTCTCCCATGTGGATGTCTTGTTTTGTTTGTCTGTTTGTTTGTTTGTTTGTTTAATAGCATGGCTATGGTTTTATCTGCCTTGAATTTTATATATGTGTGTGTGTACACACACACACACACACACATACATACACTCATTCATGATAAAATGAACTGTCTTGATTCTTATATTTGACATTGGTTTTTTTCTTTGTTTTTAGGGACCATATTTATACTGTTGATATAGACACATCACACACAGAAGAAATTTATTGTAGTAAAGTAAGTAGTTTTAAAACTATCCTTCTGAATAAGCCAGGCGGAGAAAGACAAATACCATATTATCTCACCTATAAGAGGAACCTAATGAACAAATGAAATGAGGAAAATAGAATCAGAAGCATGGAAACAAGGAACAGACTGACAGCAACCAGAGGGGAGCGGGGAGGTTGGGGAGAAAAGAAGGGGAAGAGTCTAATCAGCCAGGTATGGCTGGCCCATGAACATGGACAGTGGGGAGGGGACTAACGGGGTGGGGGGTGGGGCAGGCAACAGGGGAAAATTGGGACAACTATAGTAGAATAAATTTTTAAAAAACAAACATATGTACAGTCTTAAAGAAATAAAAAATAAAACAATCCTGAAATGAAGGATTTTAGGATAGTTCTTGAAGAAAATTTGTATCTTAAATGCATTGATTGAGCTGGTGTGGCTAATAACAATTTAGAACATTTTGTGAAGTCTTAATTTGGCTTTAAGTTAGGGCTTAACACAATTTCAGACACCATTATATATATATCATTTTATTCATCAAATATGTGACCATGTACACCTCAAGTCTTAGGTGCTTTTTACATTCCTTTAATAAAATATTGTCATGTTTGTGCAGGAAAATATCAGTTTTCACATGTAAAAACTGTCCCACAAATGTTTAAATGTTATGTTTCTATGCCTCGCAGTAGTACGTTTGACTTGACCGTTGTGACTCAGGAATTGGATCGTTGTCCATTTCAGGCAGACATAAAATATAACCTAGGCTCCCTTGCTATCTCCACATGCAGTTATTTTAGTTAATAAAATCTGCCATAGAAGTAGATGATCCCTTTAGTCCACGAATTTTCGTGGAGTGTAAGCTGAATTAAATCTTTGTCTACCTGAAGTGAATGTCCCCTTTATTTTTTAAGAAAATGACTTCCCTATGTTAAGGGAAAAGCCTGCTTCATGAAAATTGATTTATCAACTGAAAGCAAAGGGCAAAGGCATACATTTTATCAAAATGAGCATAATAGAGAAGTTAATTTGGATATTTTATGAGAAATTTCCAGTTATTTATTCTTCTTTTCCTTCATCTTTATCTCAAAGAGAAGATCATTTTGTAGTTTAATGAATACACACAAGTTCAAAATTAAATGAACGTTTCCTACTTTAATCTTTTGTTGTTATCATGAATTAATCGAGGAGAGAGGGCGTGGAAAACTTTCAGTAAATATATGTTCAGCCTCTAGTCTCCCCAAGGGAACTCTTACTTCTAAAATCAACTGCAACAGTCTCTGGGTTCTAATTGATTTTTTCTTGATCCCTGCAGAAACTGACATGGAAATCTAGACAGGCTGATGTAGACACGTGCAGAATGAAGGGAAAACATAAGGTAGGCAATTTTCATTTCTCCTGCTGCTGCCACTTTGGGTTAAGGTTTTGACTGTTATCTCCAGCCATAGACCGTGATGTGGAATGGATCATGCTAGTCCCTTTCCCCCCAGTAATTGCTGTTTCCATCAACGTATTGAAGGCTTTAATTTGCAAAAATAGTTTGCTTTTAATGTGATGAAACACCACAGCAGCTGTTAGGGATGCATCTGAACTACTTAGGGGCACTAGGGATTATGGACACGGAGCTGGCTGCCCTGACTCTTCTGAGTGCACTCTCTAGTAGCCCACCTCACAGTCCAAAGCCCTTGGGGGACCCTGCAGAAGAGCCCGGAAAAGGCTGCTGCAGGCATACAGGGGTTTGTACCCTTGGTCACAGAACAACATAAAAACACACTTTAGCCCGAAGCTTTGTACGCTAAGAAACCCTACAGCATCTGGCATTAAAATTAGTGTGATGGGAGGCTGCCAATTCCAGGCTTGCCTTCCTTTTGTGGCATGAACATGGACTCTACGCCATGTTTTTACATACCGTTCTAGAGGCGATTGTTGTCATTGTTAGTATCATCTCTTGGTGAACATCTGGAGGAGCTCGAACTTTTAACAGAGGAGCTCCTTGGCCACCATCCTTTTAACCTGACTGTGCCGGCAGATCATAGTTCACGGTGAAGAGCGGGTTTCTATGTTGAATGAACTGGATACAAAAGAGTTTGAATTATTTTTCAGGATGAGTGTCACAACTTTATTAAAGTTATTCTAAAGAAAAACGATGATACTTTGTTTGTCTGTGGAACTAATGCCTTCAACCCTTCCTGCAGAAACTACAAGGTAAGTCTCTTGTCTGTTGGAAGCGCACGTTCTGGAGGTATTTCGTAATGCACTTGACCGTATCTGCAGCCACGTAGGAGGGGTTGCTCAACACCACCTGGGTCCCTCTCACTTGTTTGACATAAAGTATTGCTCCACATGAGTGATCCTGAGCAAGCTCCTAAGCTTCCTGTTAGTTCAGGATTGATTGACAAGTCTTTAAAGAGTGTAGCTAGCCAAGTTAGTTTCTGTAAGACCCTATTCTTTATTGTTCAGAACACCAACATACTTGCCACGTATGCCATGTGGATTTCCTCTCTGTTCCTCTCTCTCTCCCTCCCACTTCTCTGAGCACAAAAACACACTTACATATATTGTGATTCCTATTTTAAAGGGTATCTCAAAAGCTGGCTACTGGCAACTGTAGACTTTCCTCTAGGTAAGATTTTCCAGAACACAGGAATTTAATTCTACTTAGCACTCTGCTTGCTTACCTTGGCCTTTATGCAAGGGGGAAAATGTACTCCCAAAGCATTACTAAATCTAGTTAGTTCTGATGCAGCTGATAGAAGTACTGCTGAAGAAGTGGGAGCTACCAGCTCAAAAGCAGAGGTAACAGTGACCTGAGGCCTTGGCTCCACAGTTGCTAGCTCTCCTTGTCCCTTCTTTCTGCCACAGTCTTTCATTTAGCCAGCGTGTATTGAGTTTCTCCCATGGCCAGGCACTGAAGTTGTAAAAATGGATAAGAGGTCTCCATCCTTAGGGAAGCCAGACAGGAAAACGAGACCACAATTCCATGTGATTGCTGCTATGGCAACATAATGCAGAGCATTATAGACGTACAACAGAAAAGTAGTCAGTGCCTGAGATGAGGAGTCAGGGAAAGCTTCCAGAAAGAGGCAGCCGAGTCCTCTCTTCAAACACTCCCCCTGCTGTGCTCACACATGGAACACGTACACCTGCAGCCCAGGAGAAATGCATACACATCGGAGACTGCCCAGAGCCCAACGGAGCGCCTCCAACAGGTGCTCGATAAATTATTTGTGAGATAGTGAGGGAGATAATGCCTCACTTTTGCCTTAAAGAAGAAGCAGAAGCTAGCTGAATGAAGGGAGAAGGGCAATTCAGGTAGGGGAAACAGCAAGAACAAAGGCATGGAGTAAAACCAGTCTATTGAGCTTGAAAACCTTCCGTTGGTTCTGGAGCACTGGACTATGAAGTGACGAGTGGAAAACAAAGAGGCTGGAGAGGAAGGTGGCCCCATGGATGGAAGGAAGAGAACAGATTCAGGAAATGCTTAAGTGACAGAAATCCATAGGACTCAGCAATTGATAGGAAGCACAGCATAACAAGAGGGAAGAGTTCAGAATGATCACTAGGTTATCTCTGGGTGAGTGGATGGCAGGGGCTACCACCAGTTCAGATGGGATAATGGGAGGGCATTGGGGTTGAGCGGGTGAGCAGCTCATAAACAGAGAAGTTGGGCATTCGGTTCTGTGCATTGTAATTATGCACAGCACTGCGGACACAATGCGCATGTGACTTTAATGGAGCTATCCAACAAGAAGAGGGGTGGTCAGGCCTTGATTCAGGGAGAGACATGGGGAGAACTAGGTTTGGGTTTCACCAGCACAGAGTGAAACCCTGGGGTGAAAAGAAGGAGAAAAGACACCAGGACTAGGGGTCACCAGCCTTTGCTCGAACAGTTTTACGAGACCGTCCACTTTAGCAGAGACACTGAAGGGAAGGCCTGTTTTTACCCAAATGCTCATCTTCAATCTTAGGATTGGGAATGGGCCCCAGCCAGGCCAGGATTGGGGTGAGGAAAGTGAGGCATTCGCCTCAGGTGCAAAGTCTAATGCTACCAAAAAATTCAGTAATCAAGATAAGTGGTGTTCTTAATGCAATGTTTTTAAAAACATAAATCAATACAAAATACTATCATAAAATATCAAATTTTTAAATAATGACAAGATCTCTGTGGTTTGTAATAAAAGCCTCCAGTCGAATATTTACTCTAGCCAATAACACCATGCAGCTGACATTTTGACTTGAATTCTACCACTTAATATTCCAGTGCTGTTTGTCATTGTTTAGGACTCATTAGGATTAATGCTTCTAACAAATCCCGACAGATTTCTTAGCTGGAAAGCTATCTTTTATGACAAATTACAGGTTTTGTTGGCACTGAGATACACAGGCCACGAGTGATCTCGCTCATTCTTCCCATACATGTTCCAGTCCCCAGGCTGCCTCACTTCCGGTGATGCCTTCCCCTCTCACTTGTTCTAGCTTCATCTGCCGAGACACGCTGCAGGAGCAGGCACCTCTCAGAAACCAGACATGGTGTTCTTCCTGCGCACTCCCCATCTGTATGCCTAACACGGTGACTAGTCATGAGAACCTTTGTCATTGCTCAGAAAAGGGTTCTGTTAGACTCTGGGCACAGCAAAACTTCACCGATGACATGGGACATGTTGTATTTGGCTTCAGAGAAAATGGACAGCCTCTTTCTTCTGCATTTTTTATCAACAGATCAATACCAAAGATTGAAAACAAAAACAATGGCCCATCTTTCACTGAAAATTCCAAATCCCATAATGCAGAAGCATCAGATTGATTAGACTAACTTGAAACAGGAGGGTGACAAATTTTTGGTCTCTGCCTCTCTGTTCCATGCCCTTATTTCTATAGTTTTTTATAACAAAAGAAGGCTGGATGTATTAGAAAGATTATGGCCCAAATAAGATTATCTGGGGGAGAATTCTGAAGGCTACCCACTATAAATCTAAAACTACACTCCATGCCTTTTCCCTCCTGTTCTCTAAACCTCTTGAACTTTTGCAAAAGTCAGGCTGGCTCTTAGTATAATTATCTGTACCCTACAGTGATTTAATTTCCCAGGGGCTGCTTCAAGTCTGAGACTTGATGACTAACGCAAAGATTAGTTCTTATTTCATGAAAAGAGGATTTCACCACGACATTGTTTTGTCTCTGTACCTTCCATACTTACAAATCAATATGTTAATTCTTCACTGCCTCCTGCTTTTGACTAGCTACATCTATAGCCATTGTTTTAGAAGTAGGTACATTTTTAAAATACCTTCCTCTTGTATATTGTTTCCCCATTGCTGAGATCACAGAGTGTGCTGCTTGGGAGAAGGGCATTTCTGTTGCATCATTGTGTGCTAAGCACCAATTTTGAATATTTGCCAGACCCATCGATGGCAATGTCTGTCACAGTTCAATAGGAAGGTCTTACTGGAATAAAGCTGGAATAAAAATGTGCTGGGAGCAAAGAGTACATTTGTTTTAAGGGGTGTCTGACTTGAACACCTTCCCCTAAAAATGTATGGTTTTCACACAGCGGTTTTGAGATTCTCAGCTACAGTTTGAGAGAATAGGGTGGCTTCAATAGGGGCTATCTCAAAGTGGTTACAGATGGAAAGGGCCTGTCATATCCCTGAAATGGTTACTGGAGGGTTAGGGCAAAAAACACCCTTGACTGGGCAATGCTAATGACTACTCAGGAAGAACCTCACTCTTCTCCCATGGACCGTGACACCAAGCACCTTGATTTAGGGGTGAAGACCTTTCTGTGGATCCTTCCTCTGTTGTGGGTTTATCTTCTTTCAGTTTTTATATCTGTAGTCAAACCATGCAACTGCCAGGTGATACACAAAATACCCTAAAACTATAAAGAAGATCACCACAGAGGGGTATAAAAACATTAATGCTGTGGAAGAGATCCTTATGTGGACTCTACGATTCTGAGGTTTAAATGCCGGAAGATCCATGGTGTAAGGAAGACGACCAGCAGATAGAAGGCCAATGAATGTTAGTGGCTGACCAACAGTGTCCATTTCCTGCTCATGTCACAGTCACGTGTCGGTCAGTGACACAGGTCACTGTGAGTTTATTCAGAAGGCCAAGCTCCATCCCGCTCATACCTCTGCCATCTCCTAGGGTCTGGAAATTGCCCACTGGACCCTCTGTGTAAAGGGGGGAATGTGGAAGGAGAACAAGAGTAGAACGTCCTGGAAGGTTTTTAGGGGCAACAGCTAGATGTGGTGCATAGCTTTACACTCACATGCCATTGGCCAGAGCTCAGTCACATGATCACACCTAACCACTAGGGAGGATGGTTAAGTATAGTTTAGTGTGTTATGAGGAAAGAGACTGGAGCTTGGTGAATAGCTAGCAAGGCAGGTAACATAGGAGTGAAACAAGCAGGATGTTGGTACATTCTGTGGGTGAAGGGGCTTTGGTACTGGCTACCACATACTTGTTGGAAGAAAATGACAAGGGTGCCCATTACTCAACAATAGCTTGTTGCTACCACGTGGGTAAGAAGGGCCAGAATGGACTTTCCCACTTATTCAAAAGAAGCAAGAAATCCAGGTTTTCATGTGCAAACTCCTTATTTAAAATAGTTTCTTTCCCTTTCTTTCTCCCTTCTTCTTTCTTTTTCTTCCTTCCCTTTCCTTTCCTTTCTTTTTGTTTAAAACCATACTAACATGGCCACACAAAACCCACTGGCAAGCCAGTAATAACCGCTAGCACACAGGAATAAGGCGTGGGTTGAGCACTAGGAGACAGAAATCAAAGAGCAGCCCCACACCGCACTGCCTTTGGCCACTGTGTGCTGTCAGTGTCTGGACCTCTCTTTCTCAATGACATGATCTCAGGCTAAGACATGTTTCTGAAGAAGGTACAAAAGGTCATCTGAGCTCTGCTTGCATCCATTTTTTTGCACCTTAGCTGATTCCACACTCTTCTACCAAGTAACCCAAGGAAGAATCTAGTGTCTTCTCCTGGGATTTCACCCACAAAGGCAGGACTCCTCAGGCAAAACAAAACCAAAAACTGAGGTCATTCTCTGTAGAGTTCATGACTCCACAGATAATTTGAGGGATGTGAGGGAGGGAGGCAAATAAGTTTTCCTGGTGATTACCTCAGAAATTCCTTTTCCAAAGACACTTATTTCTAGAGCATTTTATTTAGAGGATATAGAAATCTGTGTGTTGTAACGGTTAAGAGTCAAGCACACATGACTGAAGTTCAGAGTCTTCAAGCTGTAGAACCTTGATCGAGTGTCTTCATCTCTCTTAACCTCAGTTTGCTCACTTGAATCCAATAGACTTATCCAAGAGGGTATTCAAGGATCGTCTGCACCATGAATATGAATTATTTAGCACATTAAGTGCTTTGTAAATATTAGTCATTATTACTCCTGTTAGTTGTTGTTCCTAATGAAGTCCTATTATTTCATTTAGATGGATACTTTGGAACCTTTTGGGGATGAATTCAGTGGAATGGCCAGGTGCCCTTATGATGCCAAGCATGCCAACATTGCTCTGTTTGCAGGTAAATGATCTGCTTTCTCTTCGTCGCATCTGCTTTTGCATGTTCTGCTTGTTGCTACAAACCTGCTCTGGAGGAGCTGCCATCGTACTTTATTTCTCTGGTGAATACTGTGATTAGGAATGTCTTTTCCATTTGAAATCAATATGGAGATTATAATTTGCTTCTTAAAAGAAGTCTTTCCACAGGTACCCATGCTTTTGTGCCTTCAGAAAAGGCTAATAGCTTTGCACTGAATATGTGACATATTGGTTGGGGCCTGTTTGGGCTCAAATAAGATTGATTATTTAAGGTAAAAGTTGGTTTGATTCAACAACTCATCAGTATCATCCAGGACATGGATCCTTTTCATTTCTCTGCTCCCTGTCTTTTCCTTCTGAGAGAGACTAGTTGCTCTCGTGGTCACAGGATGCCTGTCAACCCCAATTAGGGCTACATATCTTCTTGTCCACATATAGAAGGGAGAAGGAAAGAGACAAAAGGAAGTTTCTGGAAGCTCTCTCAGAACAATGAGGCAAGTTTCTAGCAAACACCTTCTCAAATATCACTGACCTGGTTGGGTTACACGCCTGTCTGATGGGAAGGTTGTAGTGGCTGAGGGGACGGTGCTGGTCGGCTCAGGTTGACCCCACTCCCCATCCTCATGCCTTCCTTGCATTGCAAAAGATATAATGCAGCAGCAAATAAGTCATCATTTTCAGATTGAGATTTTTGTGGATGAAGGTGTGTGCATTCTATTAGAAATTTGTTTAAGAATTCATTGCCAGCTGTGTATGCGGAGGTGGGCATAGGGAGAAGAGTTGGTATAATAGTGATTGTTACAGCACGTAATAAAACAGTTAGCTATCATTTCCATCATAAAAGCTAACCACTGGCACATTCTAGTTAGATGAGGAGCTTTAGGCCTTTGATTACGAAACAAGATTAGCTCCTTGAACCTCATCCTCAGTGTCATCCATTTGTGATCCTAACTCTAGTCAGAGAATGTAGCAACAGCTTGTGCCAAGTTAATTCTATGACGGCCACTTCCCCATCAGGTATACTAAATAGGTGTTCGCTGCAATGTTTGAAACCTCACACAAGCTCAGCCCTTTTATATCGGTCCTTGCTGCAACTAAATGAGTTTCATATTATCAAGACTTGCCAGAATAGTGCTCTGTTTTACAAGTAAAAGTTCTGGAGAGATACCCAGTGTTGAATGTAAAGCAAAAAGAGTACTGGAGAGTGGTCCGGAGGAAGACATACACACACCCTCGTTCCCCTGTACCCCCCACCCCAGTTATACCTGTACGACCTGCGGCTACAACTCTATTAACAAAAGTTGTGGTTTTTGTAGATACCTTCATCAACAGAAATGTTTGTTGTCTGCAGTTCCAATAACCCAGTCAATACTCACTAATACATATGGCTGTTAATAATGCCGGTATTAAGATAGCTCTAAACTGAACCTGAACCAACTGTAGTTATTTTAAAACCAAAGGTAGACATTAAGAATTTAGGTATGTCTGAATCAGCTTTTCATCAACCCTCATACTTCCCTACAAGTAGAAGAGCTTAAAGAATACTACATTGTATGTATGGAAGCTGCTCTGACATACAACTCATGAAGATGTGTAATCCATTAAAATGGGAGTAATTTTTTAGTTTGAATTTAATTATTGTCTCTGTTCCATCTATATAGATTCTGTTACCCCAGAACATCCCATTTAACTACTCATGTGAAGACAGTTTGCTAATCTGGAAAAAGAATCAAAATGTTTAGGGATTAATAGTTAGTCTGATTCTGTCTCTTTTGCTTTGGACGCACCCTCAAGCCTATCTCCCAAAAAGCATGAGTTCATAAAGAAAGCCAAGCTTGAACTCAGGATCACCCCTCCCCCCTTTTCTCTTTGTTTTGCTATCTTGTATGTCAGAATGTTTTCAAGTTTATGACTTTGAAAATACTGAGGTAAATATTTCTTATTTCGCTAGATTGGCAGGGTTTAGTGGCTCTTGTGACTTAGGTTAAGAGGAGCAGTGACTCTCAGGATAGAAGCAGCGAGTAAGCCTGCTCCTTTGTGTTTACGACCCCCCTCCCGGTTTCTTAACTCCCCTCGCCTGTCCAGTCTGAGGACTCCATCACTTCTGTGTGAACACAAAATTTCAGGGGAGAGCAATCAGCTTCCATCTTTCCCTGGGATCCCAGCCAATCCTGCTGACGACAGTGTGGTGGCAGTAGGCGTGTCCAAGGGGCCTTGGCCTGGAGGTTCCAGTCGAGGACCATCCAGTCAAATGAAGCAAACAACATTTTTCATTTACCCTGTTCCTGGAGCTGCTGCTGCTGCTTAGAAATTGCCATGCAATTTAAAAATGAAAAATGTTTCATCTCTCATGATCCCAATTTCACATGGTCAGGAATGTGGGGCAAGTATTTTCCCAGAGATTCTTGAATTTTTCCCAGTTGTCCTATCTCATTTGCCTGATATCGGAAAGCAGTCTGGGGTATGTCTCTGTTATTCCCCCATGCCCACTGCCTTGCTCTCCACCCCATTCACCTTTTTTCTTTTTCTCCTAAGATGGAAAACTCTACTCGGCCACAGTGACTGACTTCCTTGCCATCGATGCAGTTATTTACCGGAGTCTTGGAGACAGCCCGACCCTACGGACCGTCAAGCATGACTCAAAATGGTTGAAAGGTGAACAAACAAAAGACGAAATGGGGGAGGGAGGAAGATGCATGTCTTGAGGGAGATTTAAAGTCCCGAAGGACCAGACTGTAGTTTCATTTTAGTAATGGCTTCTGACAGACAGGAAGGTGCAAATTGTGCCTTTTGTCTCAACTGATTTATTTACCTCCCTTTTTCACTTCCCATGAGTTTCTGAAATATTAACAAAACTACCAGTGCCCCTACAATAGAATACATTACATTCATCTTTCCCTGTCTCAAACTCTCATTTCAGAGTCCCACATGAAAAGAATTGAACATTTCATTCATAAAGGGGAGCAGGGGATTGGAGGTGGTAGGGAACAGGAAAAAAGCTATTCATAACACTGTATGAGTCAGGGTTGAGAAGGAGATGTGTACAAAATCCTTTCTGTAATATGGACATTCTATTGTGGAACATAAAATTACAGAGATATGCAAAACTCATTAAGTCTTCATTGTTGGTTGCAACCAGTTCTGAAATAAGTAATTTGTAGGCTCGAATGCTTTCTGAAATCACCAGCCTTTGCACATGTGAGGTCATTAGAAATGGTTAGTGTTAACCAAATGCCTAATGGCCCTACACTTGTAATTAATAACATGTCACTGGTTGCAAGTGATTAAAATTCTTTTAACTCTGTGTGACTTGTCTCTAATTAAAGTTTCCAATTTGTCCACAGAACCATACTTTGTACAAGCGGTGGACTATGGAGACTATATCTACTTCTTCTTCAGGGAAATAGCAGTGGAATACAACACCATGGGAAAGGTAAGGCGGGGGGTGTCTCACTTTTGGACCAATGTTGTCACAAGTATCCTTGAAGTAGGAACCATACATCTAAAGACAAGGCCATCATGTTGAGAAGATCCAAGGGTTAGTGGCAGTGCAACACCATGCTGCCTCAAAGCCCTATATGTTTTCTCATTATAGTCACGGAGTACAGGGAACATCTTAAATATTTCTTTTGAAAATGTGACAAACAGATGTTTGGTAATTCCATTCTGAGTTTTGAGTGTGTTGAGAGGTAGTTTGCAGGTACACTCAACAGTTTCATCTTCTTAATGAGTTGTTCCACCCAGAGAGTAGATATCCAGTATCTTAAAGCGAACTGAGAATACTGAATTTTACCTTTATTGAATAAAGCAAAAGAAGACCTAGGAGATGTCCATTTCAGTTGTTATTACCAGAGAGTAGATCAAGGTCACTAAGTGAGAGGGCACAGATTCGATGCCAGGGTCACTTGCAGAGCTGGAGGAATTCAGACTATGAGATTCAAGGCCCAGAGGCAGCTAGTGAGAATGCCAGAGATGATGCATACAAAGTGTGCTTTTGTTTGGGGAAATAAAAAGCTAAGCAGTCTGTATGGAAATGAGTTTATGTGGCTGAGAGCTGATCCCCTGAAGGATTTATGGCTCTGTATTAAATGGCACAGCCTTATCTTTTAAAACATGCTGTTCCAATGCTGAGGTTTTCCTTCTTGCAGGGAGGGAGGGTACTGATTTTAGAAACACAAGATTAAATTAAGCACCTTGTTGTTCTGTTTCTATTTTCAAAGAAAGGGGATTTTTCTACTAAGGTCTCCTCGAAAAGTGAGTGCATTTCATTTTCCCTGTGTGTTTCATCCCTGCAGGTAGTTTTCCCAAGAGTGGCCCAGGTTTGTAAGAATGACATGGGAGGGTCGCAGAGAGTCTTGGAGAAACAGTGGACATCTTTCCTTAAGGCTCGCCTGAACTGCTCAGTTCCCGGAGACTCCCATTTTTATTTCAACATACTCCAGGCCGTCACAGATGTGATTCGCATCAATGGCCGTGATGTTGTCCTGGCAACCTTTTCCACACCTTATAACAGGTAACCATGTCTTGGCTGTGCTGACCTAATCAGTTCCTCCTGGCTTCTTCCTCGCAGGGGCTGTGTTCTAGTACACAAGATTCACAACTCATGGAAAAATTACCATTCACTCTTTGTAGCTAGAACACACTTAACACTCGGTGTTCATCAACATATTCAGAGTCATTTATAAGCATTATTAGATTAGGATTTTAGGGAAAGTATTATAATTAGGTAAGTTATAACAATATCTTCTAATTACATGCCTGGCATACAAACACTGTTATTTCTCAATCCTTCCAATAAGCCTGGAAATGAAGACCATTGCCCTTTACACTTGAGAAAATGAAATTCAATTCTATTACCTAGTCAAGGTAGTCAATAGAAAGAAGAGGCAGCTTCAAACTCAAGAATGTGGCTCCTTTCTCTCCTAGGTCACATACTATTCTGTTTGACTTTTATTACTGGTAACTTTTACAGTAAATCTATTTAAGTGCTACATAGTGAAGGTCAGGATCCAGATGAGTCCACCTTGCACCCCACCTAAGACACCCTGGTTATAATCCTGTCGGAGGAGCCTGGACCCCAACCACAGCACCACGGCCTGACTCTGGAGGCCTCGAATGAGGACTTATAAGTTATCAAACCTGGAAATGCTGAGTGTCAGCCTGTTTATTCCTATTGTGGTATTTTTTAAGCTAAGGCTGAGCGATTAAATAATACACCAATGACTGTTCCTAGAGCAGTGGGAATGTATGGAGTGTGAAGGACAGAAGGAGGGCAGGCATCCACATTGCCTGGTACTCGGCTCTCTCAGACGTTACAGAGTCCTGGCACTGCTGCGAACATGATCATAACTCTGGGCATGGTCATGGAATCTAGATACATTCACTATGTTCGCATTTCTATGTAGAATTTGGACGCTCCGTATTATCTTCCTTCAGGAATACAGTTTTATTTTGGATTATACTTTTCACAAAGACTCTTCTGAACTCGATGAGCACCTCGATGACAGGCACACACAAGATGAGACTGGAGGGCAGCACTCAAAAGAACTGGGTCGTGATTGGGTAGGGTCCAGACAGAGCGCAAGCTAAAGGATGAAGTAATGTTCCTTACTTATTTGGGGGTCAGAAGTTCCCCACTGAAGATGTATGAGAATATGAAACCATATTATGGCAAGAAGTACTCAGTGAGATTTAAGTACGCTTTAGCCATCTGTAGGGATTTTTAGACTTGAGAATGGAAAAGATACAATAATTCAGGCTTTGACTGTTCATACTTCATATCTAGCATTGTTGAAAAAAATGATGTCTTTGTACATGGGAATGCAGGGGCTGGTGGAATTTCAGAATATACTTCTGGTTCGTCTGTTTTCTGAGGGGGCGAGTTACTCTGATTACAATATAGTAGTAGATTACTGCATATTACAGACACTCCATTTAAAGTATTTTCTTTGAAGGCCCCTAGGAAACATCCAAGTATTGCATGCTTATGTGGTCTTAGAAATATATTTGTTCAATAAGATCAGAAAATGGTAAAAGTACACACACCCATTTTCATCTATAAATTATAGTCCCTCTTCAGTTTTTACTCCCTCTAGTTTCACTCCTCCCTACCCCATCCTGTACTCATGCAGACCTGGCCACTGTCGGGTCGTTTCAAACCCTTGAGGTGCTCCTCTTTGTACTGGAGATAATCCTCGGAATGGCAAACCCCCTCCAGATCTGACCCATCTCCTCCTCCAGCGGCACAGACTTTCTGAATAGTCTGTCTTGAACATGCCATGTTTGCTCAAGTCCTATTCTCTCCCAAGTCACCTGCACACCCACTGTCTGTTTGCCCGTTGAAACCCTAAGAATGCTCCAAGTCTAAGCTCAAGTCACTTCCTGTAAGACCTTGTACATAACTCTTTAAGTACTGCTCATAACAGATTGTCCTGGGCTAATTTACTATCACCGTTGTTGTTACTTGCATGCATACTGAACCGTGAGTCAATCGAGAACGGTACTCTGTTATTTATTGAGCATTTACTGCTTGAGATTAGGTATTCCATAAACAAAGGTTGAATGAACAGCAGGTGGGAAGAAAGATGAATGAGGAAAGGATGAAAGGAAGGAGGCAGGGAGTGCAATAGGGAAGAAGAGAGGGTGTCACAAGTGATTCTGACCTTGGGAAGATTATAAAATCCTAAGGTGTCTTCAGTTATTACAAGGTACCTCATAAAATAATTCAATATTTATCCTATTTTTCTTAATATTTAAAATAAATATGTATACCTGTTACTTTTAGGGAAGGGAGTTATGAAGTATGTTACAAAATTAAGTAATGCCAGGGTTCTAAAATTTCAAAACAAGTGGTGATTGCTGTCTTATATACTCAGTTCTGTAAACAATGTGTGTATGTGTGTGTGATGTATATGTGTGTGTATATATATATACACATATATTGCTTTTAAAAATTTACTACTATTAATTTTAAAATACTTTAAAATTCATTCTGCCACCTTGTTTTAAATAAGCTTTCTAATTTTTTCTCTATTTCTTGCTGTACTTGTTATTCTTCAATAGTTGTTATATGAAATTTAAAATGGCATAAAGTTCTTATTATTTATGAAGCAATTTCCATATCCTTTCAACATTCACAAAATCCAGACCAAACCGTCCTCTCTGCACTGGGCGATGCTCCCACACTGCAAAGCGTGAACCCTGCCTTGGTGCCTGTGCCGTGCACTGGCCCACAGCCTCAGAGCCTAATTCAAACTCTTGGCCAGCTGGTGCCTGCAATTTATTTGATCAAAATCAAGGAACAACCATAGTCAAAAATAAACGTGGGTTCAAACAGTACACTTAGATGAATGAATTATTCATGCCTCTCACCACTGATGAAAAAAATCTCCAAGTCCTTCCAAGAGTGCCAGGCAAGAATGCAATTACAGGTAGAGATTACCATCATTATTATTATTTAGCCCTTAATAGAGCACTTTATTTGCAAAGTGTTGATGCTTTAGAGATTTAAATTGTTCAGTCTTATGCAAATAAACAGGAAGTAAAAACCGTACAGTGACTAAAAATATTCATGGGTTTTGCACACATTCATTCTCACTCCTGGCGTCCTTGGCTGGTGGTACCAAATCCAAAGCAGCAGTATGTGGACAGTGGAGGCACTTTTACTTTAAATTTTTACCAATATTAAAGATGGAGAATATTTTGTGAAGATTTTACTTTGGGCTTGTTGACTGGTAATTAGTATCAGGGAATTCATGAAACTTTGAAATCACCAGTTCAACCATTCTTCCTTTATAAATAGAAGCAGTTCCAGAAAACAGAAGAGATTGTTTCTCTTTATGAGTTTGCTGTAACTAACCCTTTCTTTAGGGCCACTGATGAACATTTGATTCACAGGAATATTCTCCTTATGCGCTCGGGCTCCTTACATTCGTTTGTCAGAATATGCAACTGCCCATAATAGGGAAGTTTCTTTGAAATATGTTTTTCACTCTGTATGTGCCCCTGTCGCATGAGTAACACTGTGTGAAATGCTGTGTTGCAGCATCCCAGGGTCTGCAGTCTGTGCCTATGACATGCGTGACATTGCCAGTGTTTTTACTGGAAGATTCAAAGAACAGAAGTCTCCAGATTCTACTTGGACACCAGTTCCTGATGAGCGAGTGCCTAAGCCCAGGTACATGCAGATATTTATATTGCTATTTTGAACTCCTAGAAATGGTACAGCTTGCTCCTCTGATAATGAACATCTTGCAGACTGCACACCAGTGTCCTCCATGCTAGCTGTACAGGAAGAAATGCCAGAACAACAGAAAGGCCTATGAGGTCATTTGCTTTCATCCACTTAAGCAAAATTCAGAGTTACCTACATTATATTTAAAACAATGACTCTCTTGTCTTTTGCTTAATCTGTGTTTTATCCAATGTGACCCTAGGATGAATAGACCCTCTCGGCCAGCTAGTTCCAATGATCTATAGTTGAGGAAACTGAGGCCCAGGGAGGTTTAAAGTGTACTGTGCAAATTCACACAGCTGGATAGATTTCCACCGCTCCTCCCTGCTTCCCTTCAATTTTACAAAGACTAATGTCTTTAAATCCTAATAGAATGTGAAATGTAATGGTGTTCCCTGGATTTTTTGATCAGGTTGGATCAGAACTGAGTCAAGACTCAGGCCAAGGGCAAGAAGAAATCATAGGTGCAATGGACCATTAACATGCCTCTGGTCAGCCAGGTTCTGGTCAGTTTTGGGTCCAGACACAGTCCAGATCCCCCTCTTCCCAAATATGTCCCAGAGTTGCCTTCATTGGGAACCTGTTGTCCAGAGACCTCTTGGTTCTCTGTAATCTCCCTCAAATCCTCACACTACAGCAACTAAGTCACTCTTTTTAACTGAGACAGGAGAAAGCTGGCCCCAGCCCAGCACTTGCCCTCTGTATGTGGCACACGCTGGGTACGATCACTACAGCATTTGCAGTCTGAGTCACACAGGAACATCCCTGTGTACTTGGCTTCCTCCACTGAATTTTTGGGCCTCTGAAAAGCAGCCCAATGTCTTAAGTTTTTTGGTTTCCAACTACCGCCTCCAACCTCCAGCACCCCACAGAAAATACCTAGCCATTTAATTGAATTAAGTTAAATAATGTGAACCACTGTACCCAGGAGAAGGAACCCTTATGGTTTATCTGTCTTCTTCATCTGAATTATCTGACATGTGCATACCCCATTACTCATGGAGTGCAGACTAGGTACAAAAAGCACACTCTGGCAGAACTTCAGATAGATTTTCTGAGTCAATGTCTGGAATTGTTAGCTACCTTCGAGGTAGGCAGGAAGGGGAATTAGGCCTCAGGGTTCAGGTTTCAGGGTGAGCTTACATAATATGTTGCCCTTGGTGTGGAAGATGGTATTAGCTATGGCCAGGAAACATACGTGACGTGATTTTCTACTATTGGAAATGTGTTTACCCTCATCTTCCCACGTGCTTGCCTGGCCCATTTTGCAGACAGCAGGATCCTTTCACAGGGCCGGCCGGGTGAGTGCCATGAAGCAGCATGTGCGAGGGGCTAGACTATGCCATTGTTATCAGGGTCTAATTTCCACTCCTGCACCAGCAGGCAAACCAGGTGCCTGGAGAGGATTAGTGTCAGTGTTTCCCTGATCGGACTTTACTGAGATATCCCTCGACTCCTGAAACCTTGTAGAAACAAATTGCACGTTATAAAGAAATGACCTTTCAGGAGGGACTCCAGTGTAATTGTCTTTTCATATGTACCCAAATCAAACCAGAGCAAATGCATCAATAAAAAACAAAACATGAATGTAGAAAAGTCGGCTCAATTCTCTCCTCTGGAGCAAATGCCTCAAGAACTTCTCTCAGGGTTTTAGGACACAGAAAGCAGTCCTTGAGACATGTGCAAACCACACACTCCCCCACTTGTTTCAAGCTCCATCACTGTTTATGGGATTTGTTTGTGCTTCTGGGGGGAAGCCAAGCTGCCCCCAACAAGGCTGAACTGCCCTGGCCAAGGCTCCTCTGTGGAATGAGGGGGTGAGAGGAAATCTAAGCACATTGTATTTGGTGGCGTTCTGCATTGTTCAACTTCCTCCTCTCAGCCTACGGTACATTCTCTTCCATGCCAGATGCTTACAGAAGCAGTTCATTCAAAGAATTTGCCATAAGGCATGAAATAAGTTCCCTCCCTTTCTTTCTTTTTCTTTTTCTTTTTTTAGATTTTATTTATTTTTAGAGAGAGGGGAAGGGAGGGAGAAAGGGAAATATCGATGTGCTAGAGAAACCTAAATAGGTTGGTTGCCTCTCTTGCATACCCCCAACTGGGGACCTGGCTCACAACCCAGGCCTGTTCCCTGACTGGGAATCGAAGTGGCGACCTTTGGGTTTGCAGAATGATGCTCAATCCACTAAGCCACACCAGTCAGATCCCTATTTTTTTTCTTTTTAGGCCAGGTTGCTGCGCAGGCTCATCCTCCTTAGAAAAATATACGACCTCAAATGAGTTTCCTGATGATACCCTGAACTTCATCAAAACACACCCGCTCATGGATGAGGCTGTGCCTTCTATCATCAACAGGCCATGGTTCCTGAGGACGATGGTCAGGTGGGTATCAAGCAGACTCTGTCCTAAGTGGAGCTTCCCTTCTACATCTTACGCTCACCTCAGTGGATCATGTTTAGAAATGCCACAGACATCTTCTCTTATTGTGCACACTGATTCAGCTATGAAATGCTGGTGGGTCAGGTGGATGCCCCCAAACCCATATAACCACATCCCCAGTGAGAAGAGTTTGGGTGTTTCTGGACTAACTGGACACTAACAGCAATTAGAGGAAACAACGATTTTTCCTTCCTGGTTAGCCCTTTAGTCCAGTCTGTGCAAGAGTAGGGGAGCAGTGAAAGAGAATCAGTCAATGGATGTAGATACCTGTTTGATTGGATATGGTTACTAAACGAGCTGCAGATTCCATCCAGGCATTGTGCCTGGGTTGCTAACTGTCAAATGGCGCACAGACAAAAGGAGGATGTGCACAAATATACCAATATGAAGGTTCATACTTCAGCATTTGTTGTCTGAAGTGGCAGCCAACAGAGACGGGATAGCTGATCTGAAATCTGAGAAAGTACTAAAAACTCCTCCTTGTATACATTTAGAGCTTATTTCCAAACAATTCAGCAGGCCTTCCCTACTACCATCCAGTCGTAGCAGACATCAAACAGAATGTTAATTAACTCTATCATCATTTTCAAACTGTGCCTTTATTGATAAATATTAAAGTATTATAATGGCTCTTGCCTATAAGGTGGAAACAGTGTACCCGCAGGGGCTGGCACCTGCCATGGCACTTAGGACAAGTCAGTGTCTGGAGTACTGAATGGCTGAGGGATTTCAGAGAAAGAGAGTGCCCAACAGGACTTATCCCAGACATGTGGCGAGACTCACCTTTGCTTTAAATGGACCTTGTTTGGCTGGCACATCCTTCTGAAGTCTCAGTCCTCCTGCATACAGTTAAAGCTTTCTGACCTGGCATTTTGTTGATGAGGCTTTACACCTCAGAAGAACAGTATGAAAAATGGTAGCCACTGCTTTTCTTTCCAATGTTAAATGACATGTTAAATGAGTTTCCTTATTTCTTCCCCTCTGCAGAGGAGACATTAGCCTTTCCTTGTTGCTCATGGAAAGGATCATTGCTGAGTGGTTTCAGATGGTTATGGCTGTCTATTTATTATGTAACTTGGCCTCTGCACACCATACCTCCTCTCTCCCCTTGGAGCCATACTAATGCTCTGCATATGGCAATAACGTACCAGAACAGCTTGAGAGCATTATTTATACACATATACTTCTCTTAAGGTTATTGCTAGAAAGCAATGTCAAAACTGTTTGAAGTAGAAAAGGAGACACTTTAATGACGGAACAACAAGAGATAAAAATGCGATCCTGTTATTTTAGGTACCGCCTCACCAAAATCGCGGTGGACACTGCTGCTGGGCCGTATCAGAACCACACTGTGGTTTTCCTGGGATCAGAGAAGGGAATAATCTTGAAGTTCTTGGCCAGAATAGGAAACAGTGGTTTCCTAAATGACAGCCTTTTCCTGGAAGAGATGAGTGTTTACAACCCAGAAAAGTATGTAGAATGTTTGGTCCTTTCTTAGTAATTATTTGTTATGTTATTGTGATCCCTTTCTTTCAGAGAAAATCATGGCAGACTTAGGTTTTATGCATTTTAGGTGGCTTTTAATATTATTTGTAAAAGTCTTTGGATACACTAAAAACATTTTCTGCTTGCCAATAATATATGTATTTCTATAGATACACATGTGTGTTTGTGTGTATGTGTGTGATGTGTGTGTGCATGCATAAGGATCTGTTTCACCTTCAGTTAGATCAGATTATGCAATCGCTTTGTGGGCTGGGAGGTGAGGTATCAGGGTGGTGGCAGGAAAAAGAGAACTGACCCAGGGAAAACTTTTAATGATATTATCATCCTGCCCTATAAAATTAGGTGCAGCTATGATGGAGTAGAAGACAAGAGGATTATGGGATTGCAACTGGACAAAGCAAGCAACTCTCTGTATGTTGCCTTCTCCACCTGTGTGATAAAGGTTCCCCTTGGCCGGTGTGAACGACATGGGAAATGTAAAAAGTATGTACTTTGCCTGATTGACCATTAGGAGGTGCTTAGAAAGGAGTCCTAGGTAGCTCATGGTCATCCTCTTCCTGCAGAACCTGCATCGCCTCCAGAGACCCATACTGTGGCTGGGTAAAGGAAGGAGGCTCATGTGCCCACCTGTCACCTGGCAGCAGGTAAGGTGCCTGCGGTGTGGGAAAGTGTAAAGTGCTCTACATTCTCTATATACAGTTAACTGTGCTCACACATACCACCCCACTCAGCCACTCTCCTTCCTTCTCCCATTTCATAGAACACCCCAATATCACATGTGGCAGATTTCCAATTGATTAATCATCCATCCTCAGGCTGATTAAAAACACAAAGAGAAGAAACACAGTGTGTTCTAAGTGTTCCCTAGAGAGAGGGACAAGGAGGTGCGAGCCTTAATCATTGCAATTCAACAACAGCAGAGAAAAGGAGCAGTTGGATACCAATTAGATTAGTGATGTGGTCTGTCCAGCCCTCACAAAACTGGCTTCTCTAATTGACCACACAAGGCTGAGAAGAAATTGTGGAGCATTTGTTAAGCGATACATTTGTACTGCAAGCATGTTGTATACATCCAATAAATCTTTCCTCTGTGCTGAAGAACAGTGACCCTATTACTCACTAGGTGATCAATTCTTGGCAGTTTTCCAGCAGGTCAGCCAGATCGGGGCAGACTAACACGCCTGTGATTTTGGTGCTTAAAATTGTTACTCTGTCTTTAAGTGCTTAGATGATATTAGTTAAAAGGTTTATGTTTTTACTCCAATGGATGTGAAATCCAAAATAGCATTGGGAAAACATTCTGTGTATGTCCTTGACAGGTTATGACCATTCAAGGAAGGTGCCCTATGGCACCGCAGTTCTTTCTTAGTCAATCCCTTCAACTCCCCCAGATCCAAGGAGGGAGCAGAATGGCCCTCACATCGCTCTGAATCTCCTCTCCCATTTTAGAAGAGCTAAGCCAAGAGACAGAAGGGTATTTCATTACCACCGCCTGCATAATACGGAGGAGGGACAGGATTCCTATAAACAGGGCTAATGATAACTAAATGATAACTAATGATAACTAAATGATAACTAAAACAAAGGGCTAACTTCTATATATTGTTAGCTCAGCTTTACCAGTAGCAACATAGATACACTGCAGTGCTAGCACTTTGTCTTTTTTCACGGGACCTCCTGACGTGAAGGGGGAAGGGTCACAACGCACAGTGAGGAGAGCTAAGGCATGACCCATGTGCTTTCTAGACTCAAGATGCAACCAGAGGTAATAAGACTGATTTTTAAAAATCATTTCTAAATTAACATACGAACTCCAAATTTGTTCCCTTAAAGATCTACATACATATTTTTCAAAACATCTACATGAATATTGCTCCAAAAAGTGTGCAACTTTCCTTGGAAAAAGGTCTTTGGGGCCTGATGAATACTGGCTTTCATTACTACTAGAAATCTTTATCCTTTGAGGATGAATTTGATGTTTTAAAGCAGTAAAAAAATTAGCAAACATAGTAAATTATTAGATTGAGGAGTGAATTTCAAAATAGTTTTCCTGTATGGCTCATAAATAAACTCTGAAAGCAGTTGTAAAGTAGGAGTTTTAATTACGTTGTGGGAAGAAGCACAAAGTTCACCCCAAAAGGACTATACTCTTTGGGGTGATTCCACTGTGCTTATGTTAAAAGCTAAAATACATATTATGATTAGTCTCATTGGTATTACATAGCTTCCACAGTCCAGCGCTGACCAAGTGGACTGGAGAGAAGAGTGTGCGTGTGGGTTTCCGACATGAGCTTCACATTCACACTCTTGAGGACTGGGAGTAAGGAACAGAATACCCGAGTGGTCTCAGCAAAACGCACCTCCAAGTCCTCTCATCTTGGGCCCCACATTTCCACTGGCCATTTGTACCCTTTAACACTTTGTGATATAAATTGTTGCTAATTGAGGAGATAGATAAAGGTCTAGGAAGGCAAGAGTTGGAGTGAAAGAGAAAGTAGAAAGGAAAAAAACTTATTTTTAATTTATGGACTTCTATATTGTTTATAACGGTATGTTTTAACATTTATAAGGAATGATCAGGGAATCAGAGTAAAAGAGGGATATCAATAATGCACAGACTAATTAACTCCTGAATAATATCTGAATTAACTGCTTAAACCATGGCTTCTCTTTGGAGAGTCTTATACAGAAGACTCATTTCTATAAATTTCAGAGATGAATTGTCAACCTGTTATATACGTATTTTTTTTTTGCACATGCCACTCAATTTATCAAATTGAGTTAATTGCTTTAATGAACTAAACCAGAATAGTGACTCACATTATTGAATTTGATTCTGTTTTTCTTCTTCCTCCTTTTTTGAAGACTGACTTTCGAACAGGATATAGAGCGTGGCAATACAGAAGGCCTAGGAGACTGTCACAGTAAGTTAAAGCCTTTTATCCACGTTTATCTTTGGGCGGAGATGATTTATCGAATGGCCTAGAAACATTACCCTGCATGGGGAACCGAGTACAGCTGGCACCGAAATATGCATAAATAACAGAAACCATCTTCCAAATATCAAATAAAGAAAATGGTGTGTTTTAAAGCCAATGTAGTTGCTATAAATGCTGGCACCTATTTCATTATTATAATGCTGTGGAACAAATTCACTCTACAAGATATTAATTATAACAGAAGAGTAAGTTATATCTGCATCTTCATTTTTAAAAGGCCATTTTTGTTGTTTTTTAAAATATGCTGTTACATTGTAATTTTTAGCCAAATAATGAAAAGACTGGGCATTATACTCTAGCTTTTTAATTGAATGGTGGAACTGTTCTATCTTTCTTGAACCTACACGCTAAAAAAAGTAATTATTTTTTAAAATTAGATTTATGTCTGTTAACACATGCAGTAGAAAAAAATTTTCAAAAATAACCTTTTCATAGAAATGAACTTATGCTAATCTCAGAGCTCATTTAGAAAGTCATTAAATAGTAACATTATAGGTAGAACTTCATGGAAAGGATCCTGGTTGTCCTGTGATCTGATTAATACCGAAATTCTCCTGAAAATGCTAATGTGCTGTTCAACTTCCTACGGTGTATTTTTATAGAGATCAGACATAATCAACTATAGAGATAAGGCCACCTTATCTCCCAATTCTATGCCATATATTTTTTTGTTTGCAAATATTATATATTGGCAAAAGTTTATCATTCACACATAAAATTTAATGAGTTAAGAAATCATCATAAGACACAGTGTCATTGCCAGAACACCTGTGTTACTTCTGAGCGGTGAAATAATTCGATCTGTGGGTCTTAATCACTTTGGTACCTTAACACTCTGTTTTCAGCTAAACAGATTTTGGTTTATATGTGTTTCTTTGTGACTAAAGTTAATTAGCTAACATCATATTTTTATGATCTGGGAGTATGGGCATCTATAGAAAACTGGGGTGTCGATTTGGGTTTCATAGGTAAATGTATGAAAAAATGTAAAAATAGTCAATATCTCTAGCATGTGGCCACTACACCAGCAGGCTCACACCACACCTGTGTCCTTGGCAGAAAAGCCTAAGGAAGCCTCACTAGCACAGGGGAGACCCTCAGGTCCCAAGCCAGTGATTTACTCTTGGTTCTCAGCAGTGAAGGCTCTGTGTTTTCACGTGCTGCCTACCCTTGAATCCCATCCCTGCCAAGGCACTGAGAGTGCCCACTCCAGGCAGGATGCGAGGCGGACCTGACCCTCTGCTGCCTTTCCTAGCAGCTTCTCAGCAACCTGTGCTCCTGCTGAAGTGTGACCTCCTTCAACTAGGCAAACCTCCTCTTTGATAGGCACTCAGAGGGTTTAGATGATTGGTGCACAATGACTCTGTAACAGGACTTTCAGGGGAAACGAGGAAATCGTAAAGAGCCAGTGTCAGGGGCTGAGTAGCAGGATAAGTGAACCAGTGTCCTGACCCAGACACATGATACACCCAGTATGTTGCCTGAGTATGTGATTACTTTTATTTTTGTTTTTAATTACCTAACTGAAATCCTTGCTGAGTTCAGAACATTGGGATGAACTGGACCATTCCTCACAGTGTGGTGGTTAGGATGGAATGAGAGAATGTAAAAAAGAAACAAAGATATTTTATTATTTTTTTTACAAATCCCCTAAGTGCAACGAATTTTTATTTTTTTTTATTTTTGTAAATGAAACACTTTTATTCACTTTGGACGGAAGACTGTTGATATCCTAGACTGATACTCATTTTCTACTTGGACACAATCCACTGTTCCTTAGGTACAGTCATTGAAAGTATTTTGTAAGTGTCCTGATGTCACTTACTTTATCCACATCTGTGTCCCTCAGTATAGAGTAGGGCTTAGGTTCTCAGAAACACATATAATCACAGTTACCATTTCTTGACTGACTCTTGTTTTTTCTCTGTCTCTTGGCAACAAAAACAGTGACTGAGAAAACTCACTTGGGGAAGAGATGGGGGTATGAAATTGGATGGAAAATAAAGCATCTCATGTTATAAAGCCAAAATTGAAGTGTATTTACTTAGTATTGGGTACCATATGTTATCATAGTGCTGTATTAGTTCATCCCCACTTACTGTGCAAGCCACACCAAGATCGCATTAAAATAAGTGACCTCCTCCTCCCTTTTGTCTTTCAGATTCCTTCGTGGCGTTGAATGGTAAGGAAGATATTACTCAATTAATTATCGCTAAAAATCTGTTTAGGAAATCCTGTTTCACTAATCCTCTTCAGTATTTTCAAACCTTAGGTTTCTTTTTAATTTTTTTGTTCTCATTATTCTTCATAGACATTTCAACTCCTCTACCAGATCACGAAATGTCTTACAACACAGTATATGGTCAGTTTATGGATTTCTTTTTTTTCAATTCTTCAAGCCACTCACCCTGTGGTAGTTTATAGTTTTCATTCCTAAACACCATGGACCAGAATCTTTGTTACTTCAGGGTCCCAATTCACTAAAATTATAATTTCATGATGCCATAGAATCGCTCTGCTTCTTTTTGATGTATGAGACTGAGTCCTACACTGTAATCCACATAACATGCCAACTGTAGGAATTTGGTGAATATATTTAATGAGTTCTTGAGGGAGAAGAAATTACTTTTGGACATAAGTATATCCAAGATAAAAGAATAATACTTATAACTGATAGGCCATAGCTCTTTCACTGATAGAGAGTAACATTTCCAAAATGCTGACTTTTGGGACAGTACATTCTGCAGGGGAAAATCTATACAGGGTGAACATAATGAGTTCTTACTAGGCAAAACTTTCCAATACAACATGATATTGGCCATCGAAATTCAAGTTCACAAAGAACTGTTTAGACATGTTTTCATCAGGATTTCTTGAGCATGTGGATGAGGGAGAGTGGCACAGTGCACGTGACCGGCAAACGGGAGTCACCCCACTGTTCTGCTCTGAATACACAGACACTTGGCTGAACAAAGCTAGTACATCCACAAACAGAATGTTCCGAGCTCTCTGTAAGAAAAGTTGAAATGTGGTTGAAATGTTTCATTTCCACTTCTCGAAGTTCCTCCAAATATTTATTAGGGTAAACTATTCATGTGTTTTTAAAATGTAAAGTGAAAAGAAGGTATGTGGTAAATTTAATCTTATGCATTACAATGAGGACTACAAGTTTCATTGATGTGCAGACATTTTATAGTTTTTGTGTTTAAGAACAGTAACAGTTCTAGGACAGTCTTTAAATGTAGAAGTAGGTAAGAAAAGAAGGGAAAAAATATAAAAGAGAGTAGAATAGGAAAGAAAAGAATAAAGTAGGTAAGAAAAGAAAGCCAGGTGGATTTAGGATTCAAAGAAATCATTCAGGATGGCTACAAGAGTGTCTCACAGCTCTATGTAAACTCTCACGCAATGTATCTAATTGGCATAAATAAAAAGCCTCTCTGAAAGTCCTAATGTCTGTCTTAAAAGCTGGAAAACAATGCCTGGATTCTCCTGATTGTCCTCCCGTGAAGTGAGGCAGTGTGGAGTAGGTGAGCCCACAGAATTCATCCATCTTTAACATTCTCTCATCTGTGATTCAAGCCAGAATATTAAACACCAACTACTGGGAGGAAAAATTCTCAGGAGGCAAATGTCATCTAGTTTAGTTTGTCCTTCAGAAAGAGAACCCACTTAGCATATGCTCCTCCACAATACCATACTTTGCAATCATTTCTTATAATTGAGTAATCTTTATCAGATATTGAGAAATTCAGGTCTTCAATCTAATTGAACCAGCAACTTCCCTAGCATTCATCAATTTGTACTAAGACCAACTTTAACTCCCAGGTAATTTCTCATATAGATAGAACAATTAAACCATGGGATGTTCTTTATGAGCAAAAATCATTCTCTCTGTCTCTCTCTCACACACACACACACGCAGGCGCGTGCAGAAAGGAACTTATTAATTCCTCCATGTTAACATTGTAACAGTGTTACGCCCTTCACCTTCAGCTCTCAATCAGTGGTTTCTGGGATGAAAGTAAAGAAGAGTTGGAGTGTTCCTTTTAACCAATGGTCCTGTCCATTCCAGTGTGACGTGGTTAGACAATGAATTGACCATCAAAATGAGGGCTGGTCCAGACAGTAATTAGAAAAATACAGGGAACTTTCTTCTCACAAACTAGTGAAGATATGCTTATTTTTGAGTTAATAAATGTAGAATAGATTTAATTAATTCATTCATCAAATATTTATTGAGTACCAGGCACTGGACTAGGTGCTGTATTTATACCATCAAATGAAATACCAAATTGCTATATTTAAGAGCATGGATGTAGATTAGGAAGCCAACCCCACAGTGCAAAGTACACACACTGTTTCTAGCTGTGTCCTTTGAATGTTTGCATTACAACGGTCATTGGCTGAGTGCAGGCTCATAAAGTGAACACCACCACCCCAACTGCCTAAGTCCAAAAAGGAGACCGTTTCAATAAAACATGCACTCCTTGCTTGGCAAAAGCTCTGCACACCACCAGTTACATAATCGAGAACCCCTTTTTAGTGAATTGGACCCTGACATTTTCCTTCGCTTTTTCTCTGTTGTACTGATAAAGTGTCTCTTTTTGTGTCTAATTGTCTACAGTCATTGTGAATAGGCTAGTTTGAAGGGTCTCTAACCTTTGGAATCACAGAGATTTGTAGATATAGAGAAACAATATGATGCATACTAAAGTTAACTTTTAAAGTCTATCTCTTTATTATAAGAACTATACATCATAAACTCCATTAATTAAAATATGACCTCCCTAATTGGATTAACAAGACAAAATTATAGGTTCCAATTCTATTGGCATCTAATACTGTATCCACAAATGATTACCTATTTTTGTAGCATTGCTTTGGTTACAAAGTCCCTTAGGTAATGCACAAAAATAATAGAGCCTGTAGAATTAAATTCTAGAAAGAAATACAGTGATTTCCTTTTATTTTAAACTTAGGCAATAATCATATACTTCTTTGAGTTTAAACTAAGTACTGCTTAATGGTCCTTTACACGGTGGCTCTAAAATTTCTGAGAATCAGGTACTGCTTTCTCTGACTGTTTGGTTCACCAGTGACACGTGTTGCCTATCCTCAAGCATTAAGTTTACAAGATCACAAACCTCATGCTGTTATATATATTTTTCTTTTGAGTACATCAGATGCATGGTTTCTCTAGATTTACATATAGAGAATGGAGACATGGTGGGTATTAGACTAACACTTAAGCAATAGGAAGGAGCTAATTTCTGACATTTGTGTAAAACATTTTCCTACCTAACCACCATCTGGTCCACATTAATATCCTCTCATAGCCATAGCTTTCCATCACCAATGAGTTTTCCACGTATTTGCAGCATATGGTCCAAGAAATCTTTCTACAGAGAATGTGCCCCTCAGGCATATATTTCCCCTAGATTACCATATTAAGAAATGTTCTCCCTAAACCATACTTAATGCATTATCATAAAATTGCCCCTTGAACACAGTTAAATTGAAAGCGCTCAAAATGAGTATCAATTCAGGTAAAAAAAATTTTTGCTACTTGGAGGCCCAGCTTTCTCCCTGCTCCCCTCCTTCCTTACAGAATACAAAGCTATTTCTAATTGCTTGCTTATCCTGAAAGTGCTGAATTCTCTCTTAGGTTAACTGTGTATTTCATTAGAGCAGTGTTGAAGAGTTGGAAAAAAATACAGGCTGTATTTTGGACCTCAATATAGGCAAGAGGAAGTAAAAGTAATTCCGTATTTCCAGCTCTAGGTTATTTTCTTACCCCAGTTCTCTAATCAGCGTTAGGAGACAAGCTATGGAACCCAGAATTGTAAAAACAAAGAGTCTAGATCAAGTATTCTTGAGTTTTAAACGAACGTGTTTTTAGCAGTGGGATATGAACCAGACTATTTGCAGCAAAGTGGATGTTTGAAGCTGTGTGGGAGCCAAACAAGTTCTACACAGAAAGCTCCCTCTTAAATGTTACCGAAGCTTTGCTGTAGCATTTAAGTGGGGTACTTTCACAGAAATCATTACAGCTTAGATAAGCCACCTGGCTGACTTGCTTTTTTCTGCTTTTACATATATATATATATATATATATATATATAATTTGTAATTGGCAGTATTAAAGTCTCCTGGGAATACAGCATCCAATAATAATTGTAAAAAGGAAGAAGAAAATGCATTGATCATTATAATCATTCTTTCTGGTGGCCAGTATTTTACTTATCACGTACTTGGTGATCACAGTCCAAGGTTGAAGTCACCTGAGAATCTGTCCTGCTTTCTACCAAAGGCACCAGTTGCTCATTCAAGGTAGTTGCCCTGAAGTCTTTCTAAAAATTGCTCAAGAGGTTGCTATAGGTCAAATGGTTGAATAAACCATAGACCTCTTGAAAATCAGAGGGAGGTTATGTTTTATTTCTGCCAGAAATAACATCAGGTAGTGGGGCTTCTTTAAATCATTGTGCCAGTGTAGATCAAAGCTATTATCTACATTTAACCTTGTGGAATGATGGGAAGAAAGCTTAGGTATGTATACACAGGAGATGTCCAGTGTCTGCCCCAATTCCCAAACTAGCCATTCTCCTGACATCCTATCACAGGCTACTGTGCACCTCAAAAAGCTATCTTTCTTATCAGACTAGTATCAGTCAGTGTGGCCCCCAAAACAACCTTTCACAAGTTATGACTCATAAAGCCATGAAAATAACACTGTTGGAATTAAGACATGAAATACAAAATCATAACGATGTGGAGCATTTAAGGCCTCCGTTGCAGTGAAAAGGAGGTGGGAGCAGATCCCTTTAGAAAGCAGTCACTTCTCCCAGAAAGAGGAATGCCTGTCGGTTGGAAAAGCTAAAAAACAGACACACCCTCCAGGTAAAAGGCTCAGCACAGCTGAACTGCTTGTGCTGGGGGAGAGGCTGGTCCACTACCATAAACCTCCCCCATCAGTCACAAAGAGTGTCCCCACAGTGGACACATCCTGCCTCCGGTGCTGCTGTGGGAATACCAAAGAAGGATAATAGTATTTCTTGAGCATCCACTATGTGTCAGACACTGCTAGGTGTTTTCACCATTATGTCACTTTATCCCACTCAATCTCCATTTGGTGCACAAGGAAAATCAAGGCCCAGAGTAGTTTAAATGATTCCCCGAGGCTCACCCATCAAGCAGCAGAGATGGTATCTGACCTTTTATTCTCTGAGTTCAAGGGGTCTTCTGCTGAACCCCACTGACAGCCTGCTAGGGTGTCCCACCTCCTGGCCTCTGAGCAAAAAGACTGTGGGCATCTCCAGTGATGTTTTCCCTAACCGTATTTGTGATGAAAACAGGGCACTCCAGTTCCCTCTTGCCCAGCACCACCACGTCAGATTCGGCGGCTCGAGAGGGGTATGAGTCTAGGGAAGGAATGCTGGACTGGAAGAATCTGCTCCATTCACCTGACAGCACAGACTCTTTGGGGGCAGTGTCTTCCCATAATCACCAAGACGAGAAGGGTAAGGCCTTGGAATTGCCTCTTCCTCTGGGGGGAGAGGGAGGGAAAAGTAGGGAGGACTGTGTAACTGCTTCCAGCTGAATCATAGCAAAGTTTAAGAACCTCCAACACACTATGATTGAAAGCATCTCAAAAAAGACTGCAACCCAATCCTCTGTGCTAGGCTTGATCCTGAATTATTGCCCAAGTAAGGAGAAACCACACAAAACAAATAACACAGCCGCTAAGCTTTCTCCTCCCAAAAGAAGCGTGGCCTGGAGCAAAGCAGATGCAGGTTCCTGAGATCCCTTTCCACTCCTCTTCCTTCATTCTGTGATTTTTGGGTCTTTGTTTTGCACCCTAAGGGAATGGGGTGGAGTGAGGGCTTTGGCAAGTGCATGTAATCAAAGTAAAGGCCCGTTTAATCAGTGAATGGAGAAATGGCAGGGCAAAGCCTTTTCTGGCTGGTAGCATCTCACTCTCCCATGGCACTGAATTTGAATAGAGCCACCGTCCTGAGACATACTGTAATTGCCTTCCTGTTGTTCTGTAAAAATATGTTATTTAATCAAGCAGAATTGCTATGCATCTAAAACGGAAAGGAAGCTACAGTAAATGAAAGGGACTCAACTGTGAACTGTCCTAAATTCTCCTTTGCTTTCTTTGCTCAGCTAGAGACAGGAAATGTCATCTTTTTTCTTGCCATTTGCTGCTTCTGGTAACACATCCTACTTGCGTTGCAGCTGCAACCAAAGAAGCCTTTACTTGTCCAAAAAACAGTCTTGTAAATCAGAGACTGAAAAGCCCAGGCCCAGTTATATTTTGAGCTGTTTCCCCCTATCCAGAATTGTTTACTACTACATGTTTTCAAGACTTTTATCCAAGCAGGAATTTGAGACCAGCCACAGTGACCCTTGGAGGACAGTCTTGACCACGTCCTCCCTCAGGTTTTCTGTATACCTATCTCCATCTTTACTCTTAGAGAATGTGTTCTAGACAGCCTTGCATGCTAAACTTCCGTCCTCTCTTCCGCATCTCATCTCCTGAGAGTAGTGTACACTCAGGTGCTCTGTGCACCAAGCCAGAACGAGAAGATATAGCCCTTTTAACTTGTTCTTCAGCATGTCCCCTTAATCGTTTTTATTATTATTCTGTAACTTCTTTTTAATGTGCCCTACCCCAAATCTCTTTTTAAAAGTGGGTTTTGTCTCAGCAGCCTCTGTAAGTTGGAGGGATCCTTGCGCTTACCACACTGAGAAAGCACCAGGCCGGTTTGTGGTGGCACAGAACTGTCACAACAGGCCACAAGCCCCCTAGCATGTGCCATTATTTGTTATGTGTGGCTCAAGACCGCAGAGGTATTAGTCTTGGCTGGGTTCTCAAGAAGAGACAACTCAGTAAAAACACTTTGTGTTTGCCCACTGTGACTTTCTAAAAAACCAAACAGCCTTTCCAGTAAAGCATTAAATATGTCAACCAAATATCTAGTTGTTGGTTACAATTATGTTCTTCTTCACTTCACTGAGACCAGTGGCTTGAATTTCCTTCAATCATTAACTCCCCCAAGGGATGGAGGTTATCAGAGAGTCCAATTAACACTTTGACATCAGTTTAAAATTCGGCATTGTTCATTCTCTTGGGTCTTATTATGAATATTGACAAAGCTGGAAGCAGTCTACAAATTGTCAAACAATGGTGGCAGAGGGGACTGCATGGGTGTTTAACATGATCACTGTTCTTGTGCTATTAGCTCCTTGCCTTGCCCTGTCAAATTTGAGTTTGATTTTTGACAATTAGGTATTTGATGGGGCAAAGACAATGAGATGCTGTGCAGAAATTTTTGAAAGATGTAGCTTTAATGTTCCTTTTACCATGATTTTTATGATTTTGATTCCATTTTGCTCTGAATTGTTTTTAAGGATCATGATTTCTTTTGATCTTTTCTTTTCTTTTGCCAAGCACTGTGTGTTACGACTTGGTGGTGGCATTATTCTGTGGAACAGTCTTGTTTCTTCTCTGACTCATTACGCCGTTCCTTGACGTGGCCCAGTCTGTAATCCTCTCGCTTCTTTTCTTTTCATCCCCTGACGCGGACGCCTTAATGATGTCACATCCGTGTGTGCAGCATCTCCTGGGATGCGAGGGTTTCCTGGGTTTTCTGAGGGCCTCTGGCAGGTGCTCTTTTCACTGGGTCGATTGTCTCATAGGAATGTGACATTTGTATGCGCCAGCTTTAGGAGCTAAATATACTCTGGAATTGTTTCTAAAATACTGCACATTTCCCCCCACTAAGCAGAAAATATGTCCACTGACCAGCTAGCTGAGGAGGAATCAGGTGTCCAATGCCCTTTTATTTTGGCCACTGGGGGAAACAGTGAGCAGACAAGCCCACAGCTCTGCTCTGCAGATATACTGAACAACTCTGGGCTAGTCTCATTCTCAGTCCCACCTCATCCTCCAAACAATTCTGCATTTCCAGAGTATGTTTGCTCGCCTGTTCTTTCTTTTCCTGGCTGTGTCTTTCGTGTTGATTTAACCCTGTGCGTCCTTCACATTGTTAAAGCACCTTTCCCAACCTTGCAATCTAACCCCCTTCTGCTACCATTGTTCTTAGCCTCCTCCTTTCAAAATAATAGACCCAAGCCCTCTGCCCCTCTGTGGAATGTTCCAAGGCTCTTTCCTTCTATACTGTGAGTAGCAGTCTGATGTTGTATGTAGATATAGTCATATTAACAAAGCGTGAGAAGAGACCTGCAAAGCACACCAGAAGCATTATCACAGAAAATGAAGCAATTTTCTCTCTCAGTAACTGGCCTTGCCCTTCATTACCCTATTGGCCTTGTCTAATGTCTCTCGTCCTTGCTGCTTTTCTTTAAAATTGCCTGATATCTTTCAAGCCCTAGATTCATTAGCAAAAACACAGCCAACTGCTCTGTTTTATCTCTGGGTCCCCAGATGTCTGGAGCCTCTAGAGCCAGCCCTTTAATCACCAAGTTGATAAATTAGATGCAGCCCTGGCTACCGCTTTCTTAGTTTTGCCACATTTAAAAATACATATTATTTATTCTTCCTATAACTATTGAGGTAGTAAGCAGTAGTTACAAAGGGGCTCTAATTACATATGAATAAGAAAGAAAATCCAGTTTATTTTTAGATCTGGCTTGTCTCTCCTTACCACCACTCCTTCCCACAGCAAAAGAAATAAGAGCTTTCTTTTTTAGGTTAAGCAATACTGAGAATTAATAGCCACTCTTGTGCTTCTTGTTTCTAACCAAAAGTAACAATACCATAAAACCTGATTTCCAAGAAGACTGCAAGATACAGGAGGAAATTAGCCATGTACAGATCTGCCAAGAGAGTTGTGTAGTATAAATATAAAATGTAAATGCTGACCATTGGGATGCAAGAATAAATCAGGAGCAGGAGAAAATCCCCTACTTCGGACTTCATTTTACAGAGTTTTAGTGAGCTCTCAGAAAATGGATGAAATAGCCAATATATACAAAATGTTACATTTGATTGGAAATGCCAGAATTGTGGTATGTTTATGTATTTTGGGAAATCTTTAAAGTGAGATATTACCACTATATTACATTTAATCAAGATATGCTTATTATAGATAAGGAAAAGATGTAGAAACAGAATTTAAATAAGAGATCAAATGAATAATTTAAACTAAAATGTACAGTAAATGTTGAATGTATTTCAATCGATGCACAAGCTATTTGTATCAGCAATCTTTAGTCTGGGAAATGATAGTCCAGTAAGATTCACAAGGCCTATAAAGGGCAATGAGTGTACTGGCCACACCTCATAACGATCCTGAATGGAATTTTATAAATTACAGGGTTTATTAACAATCCTCTTTATAGTCAATTATTTGTTCCTCAATTGCACTGTAGCCTACAGCAGTAGTGCCTCCGAGTTGGACACACAGCACCTTATATAAGATGATTTAGGCATCCCCGGGGCATCATGGATTTCAAGAATCATGTGGTGGAAAGTTACGCCATTTTCACTTCTCTTTCAGTGTTCATGGTTCTGTCAAGAAAAATGTCTCAGTTTGGTGCTTTATCACTGACAACTCCCTAAACTTGCTACTATCTCTTTTTGGCAAGGAAGAACGGGCCTTAGATTGTGGGCTTTTCACTGGCTGCTGGAGCTAGCTGGAATTAACATTGTTTTGCTTTCAGTAAATTTTATTTTTACGGTTACCTTCTAACTATGAAAAGTGACACTTTTTTCCATTTATGATAATGGTATAACTTCCATCTGAAATACATTCTAAAGGTAATTTAAAGAAAAAAGTAAATAATACAGTTGATAAGGCTCATTGGTATCACAAAAATTGTAGTATTGGTAGTTGAATGACTCGAATTTGGGCAACTCTGGCCTAGAGTAATTCAAAGAGTCCAATGAGGATTAAACTACTACCAAAACTTTGCTTCTGGCATTTGGAAGAATGAGATTTAATAAGTGCTATACCTTCTGTTGGTGGGTATATAAATGTTGCAATTATATTATCTAGTGCTTTTCTGATTTCTCCTCCAACTATTGAGCTTTTGTGATTGGGAATGAGACGTTTAGTCAAGGAAGAATTTAGAGCAAAATAAATTTAAACTAAAAAAAAATTAGTCATTCTAGGCTTGTTAAGCATCTGGTGAGATTTTCTCCAGGCCAGCAGTGAGCAGCCGAGTGTAGGCTGCAGCTAGTTAATACCCAAACTGCTGCCTAGGGTAAAGTTTCCCTTTAGTACTTCGGCTACTTTCCCGTATCTGTAAGGACTCTGGTGTTACAGTGCATTCCCCTAGCCTGGCAATAACCTACACTTGACCCTTGTTGCCCTTTTCTCTCATTCAAACTTTACCTATTCTAAGTCCCAGACCATCATAGCCCAGCTCTCTTCATTAACCGGCTTAGCAATCTGACCTTACTCGAGTCCATTTGATAATAGAACCTAGCCCTGATCACTCTTCCGTTTTAACAACCTCCAATGCTTAAAACCTGATGGATTGGGGATTT